GCCTCAAGTTGCACCAAAAGAGGTTTAGATTGAATATTCGGGATAATTCCTTCATGGAAAGGGTTGTCCAGCCCTGGCACAGCTGCCCAGGGCAGGGCTGGAGTCCCCATTCCTGTAGGGGCTTAAAAGCCCCCCGTGCATGTGGTACTTGGGGACATGGGGCAGTGGTGGCCTTGGCAGTGCTGGGGGATGGTTGGACTCCACCTCAGAGGACTTTTCCAGCCTAAAAGATTCTGTGATTCTAAGACAAACCACTTCCCTGGACTGCAGCCATCACTGCTTTGCTTGTTCTTGTTTTTTTTTCCCTTTTCCCGTCCGAGCCCAGAGGGAAAAACAACAAACCGTCAGAAAACACAGCGACCTGCAGTGCTCAGGGCAGAGGGGACGATGTGCTGACCCCGGGGGGACCAAAGCATCTCCTTTCCTCTTTAAACCATCCCACTGCTCTGTCTGCAAGGCCAGCCCTGACTTCCCCGGTGAGAACCTTCCCCCGAGCCGTGGGAGGGCTCGGCTGGGGCTGTGGGAGCGGAGGGGCTCACATGGAGGGGGGAAATCCTTCTCCACGGCTTTTTCCTCCCCGAATAAAGCCGCTTCCCGCTGTTCCCGGGCGGGATGGATGGATCGCTCACCCTGAGCATTGCAGCGAGGGCTGGAGACACAAGAGGGCAGGCAATGGCTGTGAAAAGCAGAGAGGGTTGTGAAAAGGAGAGAGGGCTGTGAAAAGGAGAGAGGGCTGTGCAAAAGAGAGAGGGCTGTGCAAAGCAGAGAGGGCTGTGCAAAGGAGAGAGGGCTGTGCAAAGGAGGGGGGGCTGTGCAAAGGAGGGAGGGCTGCGCTCCGCTCCCCTGTCCCTCAGCCAGCCCGGCCCTGCTGGCCCCTCCACCGCCCCATCTCTGCAAAGGGGGAAAAAAAAGGGATTTTCCTCAGGGATTTGTGTTCTGCCCTGCCTGACTCCTCTGCCTGAAGCAGATTCGAGACAGTGACGTCTGTGAGGGGGGTGAGGTTGGGCTGCGAGCTGCCAAAGCAGCCTCTTCCCCCTCCGGGGATGCTCCTGCCATTCCCGGGGTGTTCCCAAGGAAGGGAACTCACTCCCGGTGAGTGCAGGTGGCTCTGCCATCTCCGGGGGGTTTATGGGACCAGCCGGGCTGCTCTGTCCCCACCCCGAGCACCCCCTGCACAGAGCCTGCCCCCAGGGGTGGGGAGAGGTGCCAACAGCCCTTCCCAGCCCTCGCAACCCATCGCTGTCACCCTGTGCTGGTGCCACCCCGCAGTGGCTGATGGCACATCTTGGGCACACCCTGAGCCACAGAGAGTGAGGGTGCCCATCCCTGGAAATGTCCAAGGCCGGGTTGGACGGGGCTTGGAGCAACCTGGGCTAGTGGAAGGTGTCCCTGCCCGTGGCAGGGGTGGAACTGGGTGAGCTTTAAGGTCCCTCCAAGCCAAACCATTCCATGATTCGCCTCCCTGGTTCGTCCCCGTCCCCAGGAGCGGGGGAGCGGAGCCCGGGGAGCCGGTGGCAGTGCCAGCAGCACCGCTGGGCACGGCTTTGCCCTCCAGCCTGCAGCCAAAGCCTCTCCGCAGTTAAACGCTAAAAGGCAGCAGATGGTTCCCGGTGTGAATTCCAGCGAGGGGGCTGGAAGGGCAGCGCTCACCGAGGACAAAGGGAAGCATTAACACATTAACACATTAACACACCCGGCCAGCCGGTGCAGACTGGACATTTGCAGCCGGGCTGGGAATGGGCAGGAAAGGGAGCCCAGTCCTGCCACAGGAAATTTTGAGGAGGGGGAATGGTCTTGTCCCGGGCTGTGCAGGGATGGTGAGCACAGAGGGAGACAGGCAGCGAGGTCTGGAGCCCAGGGACAAAGGTGCTGTGGGCCCTCTGTCCTCAGCTGCTTTAATTCTGGTTCTTGGGTTGGTTGGTCCTGCCTTCTCTACCCTCCCGGGAAGGGTGTGCCAAGGGGCAGCAGGTTTGGACACCTCATCTTGGCCGAATTTCTGCAGAATAAAGAAGGGGCACAGCTCTTTTTATACGCCAAATGGGCTCATAGTGAGAGCCTGGCCCAGCCACCAGCAGAGACACAGGAGGAGGGACCAGGTTTTGCATTTCAGGGCTGATGTGGATTCCTACAAAGAGGAAACCAGCCTCTGGAAGCAGCTCCTGCTCCCTCTGTATCCCAACCATCCTTGAGGACACAGTCCTGGAGCCTTCTGGCTATGGAAGGAGGTTCAGCTTTGGGGCAGCAGCCTGGGGTGCTGGAAAGACCTACTGGGAAATTCAGTTGATAGTTTATTATTTAACAGTTTATAGTTTCTGAGTGCCTTGTCCCCTCTCTGCCTCAGTTTCCCTGGTGTCTAATGGAGAGGGAAGTGTTGTAGCAGCGTGGGATGAGCAGCTCAGCCTGGGAGATGCTCCTGTAGGAATATCCACACCAGGGGATGCACCAGCTGGGCTTGCCAGGGCCAAAGGTGGCCTTGGAGGTAGCAAAAGCTGGAATGATCTTATCTCAGGGTGAAAAGCATCAGGGGGGCTCATGGCCCAGGGACAACAGACTCAGGGGTCCATCAGTGAAGGTGAAGCAGCTGAAAGGTGAAGGGGCCAAATGGTTCCAAGGCTGTTCCAGGGGCTGCTCTCCTGGTGACAGCACCCGGGGTTATAAATTCAGATGTATTTTGTGCCATATAATCTTTGGGCTTGGCTTTAAGGTAATTCCACGGGTGGCTGAGAGTCACAAGGCCTCACCCTGCAGACTGTGACAGGTTCTGCCTGCCCTTGGAGCCTCTGCTCCCACCTCAGCCCAGCTGGGACAGCCACCTCCTGGGTGCTGCCGTGGCCCCGGGACCCTCTCCTGCTGTGGTGCTGGGGGCTGTCCAGAGACAGAAATCCCGGGGTTTAATTCTGGATCTGAACAAAACCAGGCAAAAAAATCCTGCCGTGCACCGAGCCAGTGTGGAGGGGGTTATTACTCCAGACCCTGCTTAGACCCCTCTGATCCCTGGGCTGAGCCCCCTCATTCCCGTTCCCGCAGCGGGCACTAGGGATGCTCTCGTGTTCGGAGGCATCGCCACAGGATCTGCAGCATCCCTTGGGCAGGAAACCGTCCCCGTTCGCCTCCTCCCCCCTCCTCCTTCCCGACCTCGCGGCTGAGCGCACATCTGGGAGCGCCTTCCCCAAACACATCCATCCCAGCTGCCTTCCAGCGGCAGAGGGAACATCTGGAGCTCCTGCTGGCTCCGAGCCTGCCCAGCCTCGCCGGGCTGAGCCCGGGCGGTGGGTTGAGCCCGGGGGGTGCAGGACCCGCTCGGCACAGCTCCCCCCGAACCCCCGAGGCACAGCCACGTCCAGATTCATCCCCCCCGAGGCTGGAGCTGGGGGGGTGCGATCGCAGCCCCCCTCCCCGCCCTGCCTGGGGCTCGGGATCCGGGTGTGAGTCAGGGCTCCAGCGCTTCTCCCGCCGAGCCCCGCAGGGCAGGGAAGCTCAGAGGCACGGAGAGAACATCAGAGATGCTGCAGCCCCACCGAGTCTCGCCCTGCCTGATTTTCGCTCTGAGCTGCCGAGTGATGGAGAAGAGGCTTCATTCCGCTGCTTTCTCCCCTGTGTGTGTGTGTGTGCAGGGAGCTGAGCAGCATTTCCCCCTCTCTCCTTTTATTTTTTTAGCCTTTCCCTTCCCCTTTCCCTCTCCCCCTGGATTATCTGCCCACCTTTCCCCGAGAGAAACACAAATGACACCGGCGGCACAGGGTGGGTTTCTGGGGTGGTATTTTCTGCCCAAAATGGAGGGGTGGGGAGGAGGAGGAGGAGGAGGAGAGACGCCTGAATGCTGCAGCTCCCATTGCCGGAGCTCGGGGAGCATCACCCGGTGGGTCTGGAGCCATCAGCTCCGGGAAGCAGCATCCTCGGCTTTCCGCACTAGTTAACAGCCCGAGAGCTGCCTCGCCTTGTTTTAAACTCGTTCGCTCGCTTAATCTCCTCTCCCCTCGGCCGTGTGTGCGTGTGTGTGTGTGCAGGGGGAGGACTTTATTGCCATTGGCTCCGCTCTCGCTGCCCACCCACATCTCTTCCACATCACCTTGGTGTCTCCCTAAATAAAACCAGCCCTCCTTATCGCACCGAGGAAATCGAGAGCGAGAGTTTGAATGGATTTTATATAAATATTTACCCCGACGAAGCCGCTGCCGCGATCGTGGGATAAACTGGCGGCAGCTGCTCTCACTCCCCTCCTCTTGCCCGCCCCTTGAAGGCTTTGATTTCTTGGGAGAGAGGAGAGATCCAGCTCCCAGTTCGAGCTGCAGACTGACCCAAAAAGCAGTGCCAGGCTTTAACTTAGCCATGGATCTGAAGGACAGCACCAGTGAGGACAGCATGGGCAGCCTGCAGCCCTCCAGCCTCCAGATCTTTGCCAACACCACCACGCTCCACGGGCTCCGCCACGTCTTCGTCTACGGCCCGGTGACCGTCCGGCGCCTGCTCTGGACCTTGGCCTTTGTGGGCTCGCTGGGGCTGCTCCTGGTGGAGAGCTCGGACAGGGTGGCTTTCTACTTCTCCTACCAGCACGTGACCAAAGTGGACGAGGTGGTGGCCAACAGCCTGGTGTTCCCCGCCGTCACCATCTGCAACCTCAACGAGTTCCGCTTCTCCCGCCTCACCACCAACGACCTGTACCACGCCGGGGAGCTGCTGGCCCTGCTCGACGTCAACCTGCAGATCCCCAACCCCCACCTGGCCGACCCCGCCGTGCTGGCCATCCTCCAGGAGAAGGCCAACTTCAAGCACTACAAGCCCAAGGTGTTCAGCATGCAGGAGTTCCTGGCGCGGGTGGGCCACGACCTGAAGGATATGATGCTGTACTGCAAGTTCAAAGGGCAGGAGTGCAACCACGAGGACTTCAAAACTGTGAGTGGGAGCAGGCACTCTGCTTTTCCTCTTCTCTGGGCGTGTGTGGATGGTGGTGTTGCAGGGCCAGGGTGGTGCTGGAGGTCGCTGGCTAAGCCACGTGGGCACGGCGCGGTGGGCGAGCGGCTGCCAGGCTCTGGCGTGGCAGAGGAGGAGCAGGAGCAGCCTGTTGAGCTGAAGTTTGTTTGTTGGAGTCTTAACAGGGGGGTTTTGTGGGGCCACACCTGCAAGGGGCTGCAGCAGGTCCAGCCTCCATCCTGCATGAGGCCCGTGGCACTCAGGTGGCTCTTTGGTGTCAGGGCAGGGCATGAGATGGGTCCTGCTGAGCACCACGGGGGGCTTGGGGGGTCTCTTGCTTTGTCAGGAGCTGGAGGAAGCAGAAAGGGCTGGAAAGAGGCCAACAAGAAGGGCAGGGACTCGAGGCTGTTCTGAGTGGTGTCCAGCTGTACTGCCCCAGGTGTTTGGAGATGTGCTGGAATTATGGAAGGGGAGATTTTTCTGCTTGTTCCTGCTGTTCGTGGCTCATCAGTCTTGGTTTGCTGAGGAGTGTGGGCAGCATCTGGGTACCTCCCTGGTGCTGTGCAATGCCTGGTGCTGTGCTGGAGAGAAGGGGGAGAAGAGGAGAAGCAGAGGGAAAGAAATGAGGCTGAGCTCTGATCCCAGTCTGCTCCGAGGCTGGGGGAGGTGGAGCGAGCCGGGTACTTGAGCATCCTGAGGGAAGCAGACACTGCTCAGTTCCAGCTCCTGCTGGCAGTGCAGGCTGCCCTGGGTGCCTGGGCTGGCAGAGAGTGCCAGGGTAAAATAAAAAGAATCAGGAGGTTGTCTGGAAGAAGTGGTGCCCCCCTGTGCTGCTGGGGCAGGCGAGGGGGCTGCAGAGGGGGCTGCTCCCCCAGGCTGGGGGTCTGAGCCCATCCTGGCTGAGATGTGGGGGTGCTGGGGACTGGGTAAGTCACACTGTGCCCTCAGGCCACGCTGGCCAGTCCCTTGGCACTGACTGAGCTGTCGGGAGGGGTGGGTGTGTGTGTGTCAGTGTTCCTGGAGTCAGGAATGCTCCAGCTCTCAGTGGTTGTTTCTCCGGGGGTGATGTTGCTCATTCTGCTCACTGCCCTGAGTCCTGCAGGGGCCAGGGCAGGTTTTGTGCTGGTCTGGTTTGTCAGCAGGATCTTTGTTGGGTTTGTCAGCAGGATCTTTGTGTGCTTTTAGGAGAAGGGAATATTTTCTGTCTCTGCTGCTTCTGGATCTCACAGCAAATGAGTCCAACTGAGTCCTGCTCCAGAGTCTCTGCCATCACCTGGGCTGGGCTGCCTCTAAACCTCTGAGCAGGAACAGATCATTTTATGCCTCAGTTTTTGCCTGTGCATAACCCTGCTGCCTTGCCCTGCATACCCAGGCAAAGCACTGCCTTGTTTTTGCTCCCTGGGCAGGTCTGAGCAGAGGGTGGGGGTCGTGGGGGTCCTGTGGGTCATGGGAAGGAGTCAACAAAGCCCCAAGGAGAGGGGCTTGCTAAAGACAAGCCATGTGTGACCAAACCTGGAGAATGGGATGGAAAAGGAGACACAGGTGCTGAAGTCCAGGGGACAGAAGAGTTGGGGAGTGAGGACAGATCCCGACAGGATGGACAGACCTCCCTTACCTGGAGTGAGGGTGTGGGGAGCAGGAGCTGTTTTGCCCCTGGGCTTCCCAATGAGGCAATAAACACCAGCCAAAAGCAAAAACCTGGAAGCCAGGGAGCAAACAACACCTCCAAAACATCTGCAGGCCTTAAAAAAGCAGGTCCTTTTCTCAGAGAAGGCAGGAGCTCTTGGCAGCCCCCCTGGGACACAGTGGGGTGTCAGCCCTGGCCAGTTAGTTTTTTGAGGCAGCTGCTCCTGAAACAATGATTTATTGCCTTTTTTCCACGGGGGGACACAGTAGTTTCCAGAAAGACAAACATTCCCTGTCTGCCAAATAAATGATGTGTTAAAACAGATCAGGGCCAGCTAGAATGTGGACTGACAGTGCTTGTCTTTGTCAAAGTGCTGGAGGGATTCAGGGAAATACTTCAGGCCATTCTGCAAAGCAGGTCCTGGATGATCCAGAAGACAACACTGCTTGTTGTACCTCTAACAGGGGCAGGGGTTCAGTCTCCCTGACTCCAGGCAATCCCTCAGGATCACTCAACAGGGACACAATGATCCTGCTTTGCCTTCCAGATTTTACCTCTCGGAGATAAGAGGCAGCAAAAAGTGTCTGCTTGAAGGATGAGTAAGTTTTTCCACAGGGAGAAGCTGGAAAGGTCTTTGAGCTGCCTCCAGGCTGAATCAGAACCTCATGTCCTGGACGAATTTTGCATTTAATCACCACCAACCTGTTGCAGCTGCACTGGGGCTCTGTGGCAGCCCATCCATCCTGCTGCAGCACCCACAGGAGAAGCATCACCTGCCTTGTTTCCTGAAGGGAAACAGGGTGTAAATCCCAGAGCACTCCTGTGATACATCAACAGGGTGAAGAACTAAGGGTTGTTTTTTGTCTGTACTCCCCAAATTCAGGCCCCTGGGAGCAGAAGAGGCAGGAGCTTTGCAGCAGGAGGCTGCACCAAGGCAGGAACTGTGCAATCAGGTGCTGCTGGAGGAGTCAGGGCCATGCTTTTGGTGCAGGGAGGGCTGTGTGGGGTGCAGGGTGGCCCTGGAGAAAGCCCACGGGGCTGTTGCCTCGTGGGGAAGCAGGAGCTGGAACTGGCACTTCGAAAACTCGACTTTCCCCTCCTTCCTCCTCCCCTTCCCTGTTGAAATTCTCTGTCGGTGCTTTTACCACCAGGATTTGAGCTGGGCTTTCCCTCCACTCCCTGGTTCCTCCCCAGGATGGTGCCTGTGAGACATTTCCTCACGTTCAGGTGTGCCCAGGGGAGTGAGTGCCCCGAGCTTTCCTGCAGAGCCCCCCCAAAAGGACAGTGCTGCCCCTGTGCTGGCATTGCCACAGAGCAGCAGATCAGATAATGCAGAGCTCTGCTGTGGGCAGGGCAATGGGGAAGAGAAAACAGGCAGGACATGCTTTAGCAGCCCCATTCCCTTGGAGTGCTTGGAGGAGGGAAGTGTTGGGAGGAAAACAGCAGCAGCCAAGGAAATCCCCTCCTTTTTTCCTGCCCTGCTCCTCCCGGGAGGTCCTGGTTGGAGAGGACCTGGCAGAGGGGATTTTCTGGAGGAGCTGTGCTCCTGCTGCTCCTTGTGACTTGAAGGTCTCTGAGCCTGGGAGAGCTGTGGCTGGTCACTGCTGGGATTTTCTGGGAGTGCCTCTTCCCTGGGATCCTTAGGGTGGCTCGTGGTCCTTTGCTGTTCCATCCCCTGGGCGATGGCAGGGGAGCCCTGGGGCATAATTTGGTGTGTGGCACAGCAAAGGTGTGGGAGAAAACCTGTGAAAACCCTTTCAAACCCATCCTGAAGGGTGGGAGTGGATACTGGGAATATGAGCAGCAGGGGAGTGGGAAATCTCGGTGCCACCTTGGCGAGAAATGATGCCCAGCAGCCCAGTCCTGCCAGGCTGGGGCACTGGGGGGGGTGTTCTGGGTGTTCTGGTGGCTGAACATGTTCCCATGAGGTCATTTGCTAAATGCAGTGTGTGGACTGGGCTTCCTCACACCTCCAATTCATCCCAGATAACACAATGACTTCCCCCGGGCCTGCTCTGCCGTGTCCATTTATTTCCAATAGAACTCATTTATTTTCAATCCACATTCTCCTGACAGACAGGGACCACATAATGGACAGGATCTCATGTGAATGTTGCTATTTTAAGACACAGGTTTCTGTCAATTTATCTGCCTTTTCCCATAGATATATTTTTTCCCCCATTCTTTCCAGTGCATCCATGAGGTCAGTGATTAGTGAATAGCTTTTAATTAGCCCATTCTCAACTCTTATCACACAACTTCCACTTCCCTCAATAAAAAAAATAAATAAACAATCATGATGGTGGCTGCTAGACTTGGGAAAACTTGACTTTCCTGTTGAACAATTTTTCTGGAGCACTGTGACTTTTCCCAAAGTTTGCAGCAGGACCTGAGCTGCCACAGTGAGATCTGCAGTTCTGTGATGGCTTTTACACAAATAGGTGGTTTTTCTCCCAAGAGATCAGGTCCTTGTGTGGCCTTCCCAGCCTGGGTTGTGATATCTGGAGCCTGGAGGTGCTGTTGGGATTCAGTGTGTGGGCACAGGGGGAGTGCAGGGTTGTTGTTTTGCCCCTGGGGGTGTCTCAACTGGTGTCTAAAAACTGAGATGGGTTGTTCCTGGGTCACACATCTGGCTGACATGCAAACTCTGCCCTTGAGAAATGCAGACCCTCATCCTACTCCATGTTTTTCTGGACTAAGTTTCTCTGTCCCCTGAGGATTTGTGGTGGTGCTTCCCCCTTTGTATTCCCTTTATTTATCCCAAACTGGGAGGATAATGCTTTAAATTCAGGAAGTTTCCTGAGGGGATGCCAGTTGGGCTGAACATTCACAAAAAAGATCTTCCTGGGTTTGAATTGTTAATGGACTTAAAAATGTACCAGAGAGAAAGCTGGGGAACTTCAGTGAGGTCTTTTCATGGCAAACCTGATTTTAAATCCTTTAATACTGAAAGGGTGAAACTGGGACAGAAATTTCAGAAGTGAGGCTGCAGCTCATTGACTTGGGACGTTGGTGCTGCACATTTGAGAAGCTGAGACTCAAGACCTGACCAGCCCAGTGATAAAAATCCTCCTTAATGCTCTTTTAAAAGCCCTGTGCTTGGTTCTGGGTTTGAGCTGCTTCTTGGCCAGGCAAACACGGGCAGAAATGGGCACTGCCAGGGTGCCAGAGGCAGCTGGAGAGCAGAGGGAGAGGAGGCCCAGGGATGGGGAAGGACAAAGGATTTCTGTGTGTCAGAGCCAGCTGAGGGCTCAGCCTTCCCTGGCACTGTGTTTGGAGGAGAGCAAGAACCACTCCTGACTTCCAAGTGATTCCCATCCATCCCAGTCATTCATCAGGAGGCCAAGTGGGAGCT